CATGAATTGTGCGATATGATTAAAAATAGTATTATTTTTCTTTATCAATCTCTTCTCTGTAACACGGGCGCTCTTTGAAACGACTGAACCGATTTCGATGAAACTTTACAAACTCGAACAGAAGGCAGTCGGGAGTGTTCTAGACTACCTTTTCTTTAATTGTTCATTTTTATAATAATTTTACTTATTATAAACAATTGAAGATATTTTCATGGAGTCAAGGTCGCTGATCAAAGATAATAAATCACAAAATTCTAAATACCTTCTGTAGGTACATTACCTACCCAAATTTGTAATTTAACTCGTTTATCGTGCCTAAAGACGGTTTTGACCTTAAAGTCTATACCAACAGTACTGACAAAAGCAGACGTAAAGCTGTCATCAGCATATCGAAATAAGAATGAGGTCTTTCCTACAGAACTGTTCCCTATAATGAGCAGTTTGAACATGTAATCGAAATTTTGATCTGCCGCGTCTTTCTGCCATTTCGGATCTGCCCCCGCCATCTGTAAAATAACATGTTCTGTATTAACAACAATGTTAATAAATATTCAAATAATAAATTACACTTAAAGCCCAAAAACTAGCATTTACAATCATCCCTACCACCCAAGTATCACTAGTTGTATTAATCTGTATGGGTTTCATCAGAAAAAGATTGTAAATGAGAAAATTATTAAAAAATCAATTACCTTTCATAAGTACAGACTTGCATATAATAACAAAGGGCTCAAACTCGTTTTGTACAAAGATGAAGGGCTTCGTTTATGGTAACTTTTAAAGTAATATACAGGAGGTTTATATTTAAATTTGTCAGTGGCCCTATTTATTTATTTCGTTTATGTATCTACCTACATAACGTACATTAAAAATTAGTTAACTAGCTGTTGCAAGTTTAATGCATTTAAATTTCGTACCCAACAGGTGGTTTTGATAAATAGAGCAGGAAATTTGATACGATAAACGGAACCAACACATTATTTCCGCTAAATTCATTAGTGCCAAGTCATCTACGCTAACTACAGTAGATAGGATTCTTAAAATAACTTTTACTAATATTGAAATAATGTTTAATCAAACTGTTCCCTTCCATTAATAAATTAGTATTACCTAATTATGCAACTAGCTTAGATACACTTCATGAACCTACTACTCCTTCCGTTCTGACTTATCTGACTTCCTAGATACCTAAAATCAGCCACTTCTTCTAATGTTTCGTCTCCTATTTTTATATTCACCCTTTCCCTACTTTTTCTTCCCTTGCATACCAGTATTTTTATCTTACTTTTAACTGTTTTGTTAATATCAGTTTCAGTAAGAGCAAGGCGATGCGTTGCCTACTCTATTTGGATATTACAAATACAACCTACAATAATCCGAATGAGTTTTACTATTCATCCAACACAACTACTCGTCATGTTTTATTGTGACTGCGACATACAATCGATTAATTTTATATCAAAAATTAACAGTAGCCCTTTATCGCAACTACACGAAAAGAAATTAATCAAAACCCCTTTGTTGTGCTTTAATGGAGCAACCCTGCCAGTGTTCTTTACCTACTTTCATCTTTAGCCTAAGGCTTATCCAGGCTAGAGTTATAATTTTCAATCTGCATAAACTGTAATACACAACTCGTTCTTAAAAAAGCTTTTGTTTAAACTTTTCAATTATTCCCTTTTTTTAAGAACAATAATTTAAGGCTTGAGTTACTGCGATTATAAAAAGTAATCATATAATGTAAAATTTACCTTAACATTAATGTTTTCCTTAGCACTAGTTTCGAAAAATTCCACCCCTAGTTGCTCGGCCAGTTGCTTTCCCCGTTCGAAACTAATTACTCTTTCGTCCTCCATATCACATTTATTCCCTACTAGAATTACCTGTGCGTTGTCCCACGAATAGGTTTTAATTTGTGTGACCCTAAAATAGAAAAAGCATTTGGAATCAATTATCGGGTTAAATCTGAAGGCAATCACTTTTAAATTCAACATATGATACAAACAAAAAACAGAAACCTTTCTTTGGTTACCTATGCGTGCTGATGGGACCTAGTAAGTTCGAAATCATAATATGTTGCTGAAGTTTTCACTTAATTAAATGTTACTCTACATAAGTACATACCAGTCTTGAACGCTGTTGAAAGATTCTTCATTGGTTATATCATACATTAATATGAATCCCATTGCACCCCTATAATAAGCCGTTGTGATCGTTCGATAGCGTTCTTGACCTGCTGTGTCCTAAAAATTTACCAAATCTTAAATTAAGACTATTCGCAGTACTCGGTATATGAAACATTTTAACAACAAAAGTAAAAAACAAGAAACAATTCAATTCAACTTTTAACTGTATTGTTATTATAGCCTTTTAATGTTTTAATTTTGCATTTCTTGTCTCAATTCTAATTACCCCCGAGATAAAAATGTTCAGTCTCTCAGGGTCTCTGAAAGCGAGACTCGAGTCTCCGTCTCTCAATCCGGTCTNGATAACACTGATGCAACAGTTGGTAACTCCGATCAATTAATTAAATATTCATGAATTGTGCGATATGATTAAAAATAGTATTATAACTGGAACAGAGCGTATTTTTAAACTAAATAATGTACTATTTATGTATATGATAACAGCTAAGGGGAAGGTTCTTTATTTAACACAAACAATACTCTATTTATATTAATATTTTTGCAGTAAGAATATTCTTCATTTGTAGCTGTTCTAATTCAGTAAAAAAAGAAAAAAAATTAAATAGGTTAACAACTATCATTAACGTTGTTTTGTGAAATGAACACTGACTTTTTGTTTATTTTGCCTTAAATTGTTTCAAGTCTATTGTATTTTTCTTAGAAAAGAATTTTGTAAATTTGGTGGAGGTGCCAGGTAAGATACCATTTCAAATTGTTTTAATGCAGTTTTAATACAGAACAAAACTAATATCTAGTTTAATAATTACTTCATTCACAGTTTGAATATACAAAAATAAAATCTCATTTATTAATAGTAACTCAATTTTTAATAATCTACAGGTTTCTTATCAAATACAGAGTTTGCCACAAAATAAAATACATATAAATGGAATAGATAAATTTGCTTACATTTAAATAATTTTCACAGTCTACTCATAACTACAAAGATAGTAACTTAAGCTACAACTAAGTAGGTGTGGTTTTATAATATTTTTTCTAAAATATAGCAACGCCTAAGTGGTGAATTATTGAATTCTAATAAGTAGCAGTTCATTTATAAGTGAATTACCATTTTTTGTTTAGTAATTTCCCACCCTGTATAAAAATTTGTAAACACAATCTAACTTGTGATTGCCACATTTACTAGATCACCCTGTAAAAAGTCTGGATCACCCTGTACCTGTAAGTCTGCAGTTCTTCTGTTTAAAGGAAAAATGTCTGTCGGGCACGACAACGGTAAATTTTTCACAGGAATTTATTTCAATTATTTACTCGTCTGCCCTAGCACTAATGAAATTAACAAAACTCGCAAACAAACAAACTACTGTATTTACGTATCTGTCTATCTGCATACTCACCTACCGTCGAATCCATTACCTAATTAAAAACGATATTACATGTTTACCTACTTCTATAAATGTTTAAGCCTTATCTAAGCAGATTAGGGTGGTTGGAATCCCTTCATGGAAGAGACGATTCCAAGATTTTACTCTCACTTTTACACATAATTAGCGAACGCCGCATGGTGACTTTAATAAAATAAACCATTTAAGGATAATCTCTCTGCGAGATTAGATATTGAAAAAATTCTCGAAATTTTTTATTTTCATCTTCTTTTATCATTTCCTTTATAAAAATATATTCTAAGTTAGAAGACAAGAAAAAGAAAAGAGCGTGTTTATCTATAGGATGTTACCTAACTTAAGGATGTTTGGGAGGTACAATCGGAAACAAGAGTACATAAAATTTGAAATTCGTGATTAATTAGGTTTTGCAGCTTATCATGAGTTTGACCAAAAACTTCGAATAAAATAAGAAATAACGAATAATATAGAAAATTTTTAACTGACTTTTGGCAGTGAATATGCCTTGATTTCAACTTCGAAACAAAAAAATATTTAGTTTNCAGTAATTGAAGGTGAAATTATTCAAAATTCACCATCTTTTTTTCATTAAAGCAGAGTCAAACATTATCATAGCAGAGCTGATGAAAGTTTTGGAACAAGAGTTTTTGGCGAAGTGGAGCAACGTTTTGAAAAATAATTCAAATGACAAGATAATGAGATTTGAATTCATGAACCTTCAAACATCTCCTGTAGGTACGGTATAACATGAACTCTAAAACTTAATGGAAATAGGCTTGTTCATACGACCTAAAGAAAGTCATTAATTGTATACCTAATATAGTACTTAGTTATATTTTATTTTTATCCATGCACTTTCAGTTCCGAAGGGGAAGGTCCATACATACTCCCTTAACATCCTCCTTGATTATTACGCCTTCAACCACACACACCGCTTTATAGCGGGTTATATTGGTTGATTAGAAATCGTCTTCTATCGAACGTGTTGAAATACCTTTCGAAGTCTTAATTGTGTGTAGATATGTATCAAATTGTGTATAGGCATGTATCATATTAGTATGTAAGTAATTTTTCCCTATCGCGACATTGACGTAAAACGTTTTTACTTTTTACTGTGTCATTTAAAGGAACTATCGCCGTTAGTGTAAATTGTTTTAATATATCATAATCATAAGATCGTCAGTCCTAAGACTTCATCAGACTTAATCGGTCACTTCTTCTAATTTTTCGTCTCATATCTTTATATATCTGTTTCTTCCCTTGCATACCAGTATTTTTGTTTTACTTTTATTAATATAAGGCTATCTCTAACTCTAACTCCTCCTTCTTGCTAGATGCTAATGCTGCTATATCATCTACAAATCTAAGCATACTAATCCTTTGCCCCTGTATATCTACCCCTACAATTGTCCTGTCTTTAATTATGTTAATCGCGTCTTCGATGTGTAGATTAGAAAGTGGCGGTAACATATGTGCATCCTTGACTGACTCTCTTCCTAATATTTAGTTCGCTAATTTTAATGTATATGCAATATTTTTATTATAGCCTTGTATAATATAAATAGTTGCAACGACATTTGACAATACGCCTGCGTACGAGTGCTTTCAGGTACAACATTTGAACGCTTTGAATACAAACGACACAGTGCAGCAACGGGCGCTCTGCGAATTAAACCGCGAACACAGTGTGCGTCCCGACGTCCGACGACGGTCGCCGCGACGCTAGGTACACTACACATACACAACGGGTCCGTGTCGTATAGTTGTAGATCCGACCTCGGCCACGGAAATAACGCGATACTCATTGCATATTCCAATCCGCACTCATAATTTTGCCAAAAACTCTTAGTTACATAAGTGCCATCAGTTGTCCCCCGTAAAATAACAATTTTTGTTCCGTTGTGATTCCTATTGTTCTTATTTGAATTGTTTTTGTTAATGTTTAAAGTGACGCTGAAGAACTCGTGCAATCAAACAGCGCAACGGTGATCTACTGTTAGCTTTTATTTGAGGTAATATGTACTTACTTGTTAGATTTTTAGTTAAGTTACAAACAATCTACAGGGTGATACAATACAGTTAACTTTTAATTTTCAGCCGATAACTTTTTAGTTATATTAAGTCACTTAACACACTATTTGTCAAAATGTTTTAGAAACACTAATAGTATTTAATAATGTTTAACAATTCCCTTAATTAACCTAAAACAACAACCATTTATAAAACAAAATAATTTTCTGTTTCTAGTCTGTTTTGTTAACAGAAAAGTCTTTTCAGCTGGAACACCCTGTGTATTGTCATTCCACAAGTCGACAGCTATAGAATGTTTCTATTTATTATTAATGTTAAACATGTAACAATTCAATATGTGAAGGTTCCTATGTATTTTTTACTCTGCTTTTTAAAAATTAGTATTCTATTCTAAGTCTAAAACCTATTAAATTGTTAATTCACCGTAATTCTTAAATGTCGGATTTCGTTTTGAGTCGTCTTCATCATCAGTTTTGTAGAATGTGATCTCAAGAGTTTCTAGTTGGTTTTAAATTAAATTAAACTATTTTCCAATTTATCAATTTTTTCGAAGATGTCAACGATAAACTTTTGCGAAAATCGGCTCGAAATAAGAAGGAAGCGTTTAGACTGAAAACTTTATGATAAGATGTCAAAGGCGTCTTTTTTAATAAAATGTCAAACACAGGTGTCTTAATAGGGTACTGATTTGAATTTTGTTGTAAGCCTGGTAATCTTTTCAATGCCAGTCGAGAAAATTTTCACCCTATCCTTGTATATCGACGTATAAAGATCAAGATGGACCTAATATGTTCGGGTTGTATTTTTTGCTCTTCGACCAAAGATCCTGCTTTTATGTAATCCCTTTCATTAAACAATAATGTGATCGAAAAGGTTTTCCATTATGATTGGAAATTCGGTAGAAAGTATGGTAATTTCAGTTAAAAGTAGTAATAAGGACAACGCACGAACATACTTATCTATTATTTTATCGCGTAATATAAAATTACAGCTTAGGTATAGACTGTAGTTTACGCCTGTATGGCAGCCACTTTAAAGCTATCATTACTTCGTGTTTCTCTTTCCATTTTATACCTGTCGAATATCGTCTTGTTCGTTCGTACTATCAAATTTGAATAACGCCAACGTACATTTCCTTTTACCATAAACCACATACTTACGTATGTACATAGAAATAAGAGCCGTGCTGAGATAAAAATAAAACCATAAAGGATCGCTTTTCCACAAATCCATTTTTTAAGACGTGGAATCATTATCAGTTAGGCACAAAGAAATATTCTATCAAATTATACTCGTACAGTGAATATTATTGTCAACTGTACACAAAATGTACCTGTGTCAGTCTATTGCGTGAGCGTAATTTCATTCTTTTATGTTTCCTTTATTATTATTGATGTCAGGTACCTATAGTGAAAAATGTACACATAAATACAGTAACCAATTCCAGGAATTACCACTAGGAATTGTCATTTCTACACGCAAATTTCTCATTAACAACAAATGTATGCTCTGTTTCAATAAAAAACTACCCTGTCTATTAACAATTTGAATTTCCTTGAAAGAGAAGAAGTTTTTAATTTTTATTGCAGCTCTATTTTATTTAAATACGAAGTTAAAAACACGGCTTTACTATTCTACAACTGAAGAAGTCACAGTAGAGCGAAATGGTATTGGACTTAAGACTAACACCATTATCTTTGAAATGATTTAAGATATCATGATGGAACTAACCCTTAAATTAATTACAAAGTTACCGCATCTAAATCACCCTGCGTTAGTTTAATATTAGTTTTATCCAAACCCTTGGCAATAGTGCCCTTAATTTGTGAATAGCTCTCATAAAAACAGGATTTCCCATTAAAAAACTGTTATTGTTTACCTTTTGTGACCCAATTTACACATTGATTTATAAAAGATAGTTTTACCCTAATTAGATTGTGAAACTCAGCAAAATATTGAATTCGGTGATGAAACAAAGGACAATTTGACTTTTTGGCAGATATTTTGTACAACACGTGTTTATTTTAAATAAAATTTTCCGCCCACCTGCTTTGTTAAAAGAATACGTTACGTTGAAAAAGGTTTGTTGAAAATTCACCTGTTAACTACTACAATACTACTCAGGCAGTTGTAACAAATTATTCTTTGTGAATTGTGATGTATCAAGGCTTTCCGAGCTTTGACAATGACAAAGTAACAATTTAATGAATGTAATTTTCACTGTTTCGTTCCAACGTTTTTATCCAGTCTTTATATTAATTTTGTAGGCAGGACGAGTGTGGAGAGTTTAGTACAATTCTTATAAAAACTGAAAAGTCGAAACAATTGTTAGAATTTTATTAATAAATGTATTTAAGAAAATTCAACTTAGTTTGCTGTATACAACATAAAATTATGCAGGTCTGATAAGAGTTCATGTTAATTTGCATGTTTAATATAAAATGTTTTCGTAATGATGTCGAAATTTTGATGAATTTTTCTTCCCCTAGATAACATGGATCATACTTTGTACAATTCAGTTTATTGATTAAGGAATTTTACTTCCAAAAACCCCTTAATTTCCCTCAAACTATTAGTAATGGTCATGGGTATCTACATGGTACCTATTTGGCATTACCATCGCTGTATTTCCACATCCTTCTGTCTTATATATTCCATTCCATTGTCCTCACCAAAACGCTTACGTGATTCTCATTTTAGACATGCCTTTCTTAGCTTTTGGACTTTCCAACATCTCTTCAGAGTACCTTGTGGTCTCCTTCCTATCGGATTTCCCTCCCATTTTTCATATACGGTGCTTGATTCTTTTCTTCCGATGGTGTGGCTGATCTATCTCAGCTTATTACTTCTAGTTACTGTCTCCATCCGTGACTTTTTGGAAAGTTCTCTAATTTACTGATTGTGCTTTATCCTCTTTGTATCCAATAATATTTCGTAAAATTTTGTTCTCGAAACTGGTTATTTTTCCCTCTTTTTCTATCTCTAATTCAGGTTTCAGCTCTATGAAGGACGACTGGTCTAAAGGATTAAGAATAACAAATAGCATGTCTTCGTGAAAACTGATAGAATTCATATGCCCCATTGGAGTGTAAGCCTCATCCGGCAAATAAAGGACATGAACCAATAGAAGGATTTCCCCTTAGATTACTCATAAGGACCCATACAAAAAAAAACGATAATGAAGTGAGATATCCCTTATAAGCTATTCATAAAAACATTACGAGAAAAACCTAACAAATATGTATAACTATTCACAAATAGCTAAGCAATCTCACCATAGGGGTTTGATATCGGACAAACATCAAATACGATATATTAGACAAACTCGTGGTTATCTGCCAGTGTCATATTTAAAAATTATTTTTTCTGGTGTTTAGTAATTAGTTAATGCAATAGTTTAAGCCAATTTTGTTAAAAAATTCTACTATAATATACAATATAAATAAGTTTCACTTCTTACGCGTGTACACGCTCGCTTCTTTTTTATTATTATGTCTCTGTTTAGACGCAGTTTCAAAAGTGTTTTTTTTTCGTTGTCTGAAAATGTTTATTGAGGGTACAGATGGCCACATAAAAATAAATTTATTACACTTCACTATCTGTCATTCGTCGGTACAATCGCGAACTCTCGGATGAAGAAAGCTTATAAACAATTCATTCCCGAAGTGGAAAACTAGGAAGAAGGTGCAAAAGTGTATGTTTTAAATTCTCATAAGCTAATAGTTCCACGTAGGTTCCTTGACCTGTAAAGTATACAATTTACATTGCAGGAGGTTTGTGTTGAAACATATACTATATGTATATGCTTATGATCGAACCTACAGCATAAAACAGTAGCAGCAGCAAGGGAGACTGAGTGATCTTTTAACTTTTCGTTTCCGTTTTACTTCGAACAAGTGCATGGATTAGTAGTAGCTAGTGATGTCAAGTTACAATATTGACATCACTACTAGTAGCGTAACAGTTAATTACATGTATAGTATTCCAGCGAACCTTGAATATAATTCTTTTTAATCTTTACTTCTTAGATTAATCTCCTCAAGAGAACTAATCATAAAAGCTATAAAACATTGCCAGTACCACGTTGATTCCTAGATTAAACGGAAAATCGTCATTGACAGCATTTATTTTTGATGTGGAAGAACGAAATTGTTAAGGAAAATAGGTTAACTAAGACATCAAAGAATCCGAAGACTGGCATCTTCCTATCCTTATCTTATACTTTTCCCGAAAACTGGTTCATCCCACATCCTTTATGTACTGTATTTCATAACAGTAACCGAATATAGATCTTTCTTTCCCCTCTTTTTTCCTGCTTTTGCTTCTAATACGTCTGTAATTAGTCCCGCATGTATGAGAAGGTGTCTTTTCCTCATTGACTTCCGTAACACTACATTTTCCCCAAAGAACCACAAGTGGCTCGCAATCCCCAGAACAATAGGTTTTATTTCAGTAACAACTTCTATTATTTTTTGAAAGAATATTTTAACTCAACCTAATTCGTTATTTTTAATTTCTTTTAAACAAAATACATACAAGTCGATCAGTTTTTATACAATATACCTACAGTGATTAACAACTTGACGAGACACCGTGTACTGTTGTTATATTTTAACTTCAAAGTTTGTTTTTCTTGTCTAATTTAAAGATGAAGTTCAACAGTTCCATTAGCACAGTAACATCATTCTTAATAAATTCGCAGAAGTGGTTCATACCAGGGACAGCTACGTTATAAAGAACCCAAGAGCGTGTTCTCAGTTCAATTTCAATAATAGAAAAGAAACAAACTTTGGTCTATCGCATCACGCCACGGTGTATGGGGTATCTTTTGAGTAAATTCACTATCATCATTAAAACTTTATAGATTAATATCGTATTGTAAACGTTTACTTCATTTACTTTTAAAAAGATCGTCTTCTCCATGGCTAAGGCATTCGGATTCGCGACGGCCTCCTGGTTATTCATTGTTCATATTAAAAGACTAATCGTCCTCGAATGTCATTAAATTCGATGAAACTGGTCACAGCATCACTGTACCCCCTGCAGAACATATCAACGAGACGCCGCTGGTTATTACCTGTTTTAACACGATTAAACAATTGTCTTCTGAAAAAAATCATACACGTACTGTATTCTTTCAAAAGTAGGAAGCAATTTACCATAAAATATGAAGTGTGTATGATTCATGCTCACAACTGGGTCGTTCTGAGAGGCTAATTTTGAATGTTAGGTCACATCAGCTGATTCGGAGTCATTTTAAGATGAAGCTTGGCTCAGACTACGTATAATCTATCAAGAAGTTACAACGTGTATTTTATTAAAAAAAAAAACGGAATTAATAGGATCTTTCAACTATCGTCGTTGAGTGTGAAAAGATGCGGCAACTAACTGAACAAAATTAGAGAAGTACCGACTGTAATTTACATAATACATGTACATACGTATATAGTACACATGTTGGTTTTTAGCATTAAAGCTGAAAATATCTTCTATGCAGGCAGAAATGTTTGTTGTATTTATAGTCCGGGGATATATGTAAGTATACGTAATACAGTGACACTGACCATTTCATAAATTGCGTTTTATTATTACGCAAAAGTTTTCAAATTATTAATGATAACGTTCTTTGCCAAAACACTTTTGATGAATAGACTTTCCAAAAAGAAAAAAGAAACTTAGTTGACTCAAAAATGAGACTCTTCTCTAATAACTGGACGTTAACACAGGAACACACCTCATAGTTACATTTTTATTGTTTCATGCCATTCTAACTGCCAATAAATAAATCTACTTAGAGCAAAATTATTGAGACATTGCGCTTACGTCAGTGACATAATCCAAAACGAAAAGCTAGGTTTCCACCGGAAAAATATTGAGCAAACATATTATTAATGGTAGTGTCCAATGTTGTTGTCTAGTCTCTAGTTCTTCCCACAATTAAATAGGAAAACATACAAGCGAATTCTACTTTAAAACGAACACATTGCGATTTCTTGCAACATGTTGCTCATACTTAAAAAATTGACCCATCTGTGTCCATTATTTGACTCTCTCCGTGTTGACGATATTCTTCACAATAAGAGCCCACTTTTACTGTTACCAGAACATTGAGAAAATTTCAGAAACTTTGTAAAATATTTTTGAAAACAAGCAATAGCAACATAGATGTTCCTCAATATTTCTTCGGTGGAAGGCTAGCTTAATGATAACACTTCATTGAACTCATTGTGTCGTTCTAAGTGTAGTCAACTACTGATTTATTAGACTACATAACATACATACTACATGATATCGAATTAATTGATCCAACAAACAGGGTAAGTATACTTCGTTTAGTTTCTGTAGCGATGTGACCTTCAGTTTCACCGGCGCAAAGTAAAAAAGAACAGCACTAGGCCAGAAAAGAAAGGAGACAACTCTCGACCAAACTCTTAACCAGTAAGGAATGTATAATCCGTACAGTACTGCACGGAAAAATTGGCCATTTTATCCAATACAACTGCATTGCTCAAATGTGCTGTTATTGGTACCAATTACTACTGGAAATATCAACGAGGTGTTTATTAATATTTGAAGACATATTAAAGGCTTTAACGCTTGTTTTCGACTCGCCCTACTATTTATGATTGAACAAAACTTTTGGCAGGTACTGTATGAAAAAGTATGTTTAATGAACAAGAGTCGAGAATATAATGAGCTTTTTTCTCCCTACCTACCCTTATTGGAAGGGGCATATCGCTCGAGAAAGTAAATGAAGTATACTGATTGCAGCGGCACATCGGTCAACAGCACGTTTCGAATCCTAGACTGAAAATCATTTTTCCGCATAAAAAATGCAACCAACAAACAAGAAGCGCTTTTAGTTATGCGTGAGCTGTTTGGCCAGTTGTCCTGCACTCTTTTTTAATAAATGTAACATAATAGTTTTGTTAAATAGTTTTGGTACGCATTGTCTTTGTTTGATATTATTTTTCTTTAATCGAATGTAAAAATCAATCATCTAATTAACACAATTCGGAATTCTTCAGGGCGACACAAAAACTTCAGTAATAGTTCACTCTTTGTGCTTCTTGCGTCGAAAAACTTTCTTATTAGGGATTCCCCGACCAAGTTTTTGCTATGCAAGTCGTTAGAAGTTCGCGTGCTATGAAAAAAGAGCGAAACTCGCTAATTAACTTATTTGTTCGTTTTTAGGTTAGATCTCTTAAAACGATAAGAAAACATTTATATTATTATGTATCTCTTTCAGACATGATCAAATAGCCCACTAAGTAACGTACAAACAATTTTCGCGTATCACGCGATAATTAGATAGTTAAGTGTTTACGTTACGAGGAAATGGCCAAACTATAAAATTTTCGTAGCTCATAAACTACCACCTACCTTGTTAATAATAACAAAACGTCATGCGGTACGCTTCCTAAATTATTTACAAGTATACAAATCATCATTAAGTGTTACAAAAATAATCATATTATGGCTAGCTTAATATAATAAATAATAAATTTTGTAAGTACATTGAAACTAATTGAACCCTTTGTTGGCTTTATGTTGACGGTTAAACTATAGTTATCTAGTATTGCATACGTAGGTCAAACCAGTTTATCCAAAGAGCTTCAAACCCGATTTCTAGATAAACTAGTTTTGTCCGGGTAAAATCTTACTTTTTCCCTAGATAAATTGGTTCTTCCCAAAAGCAGCATTTTTCCTGAAACTATTACAGGCGAAACCGTTTTCAGGATAAACTAGTTTTGTCTAATTGATTAAATTAGCTTATCCAGAAAGAAATATGATGAAGCCGATTGTCTGGAACCTATTACAGACCAAAACCAAAGTAGGATATTAAGATCCTAATCATATCGCCTTATTTGGAGGGTTGACTCCAGTTTATTTTGATTAACATGGTGATTCCTATGTTTGCGAACTTTTACTACTACTACTAAAGTTCCGGCTTTTTCTCAAGTTAAATGGGATCGGTGTCGGATGACTTTCGTTTTAGGAAAGAACGTCGTGTACTCCATATTTTTTCATTTACATTATTAGATGATATAGCATCTAACAAGGAGGAGTTAGATAGCTTAAAATAAAATGGAAGCGGTATTGACAAAACAGTATTGTATGAAGATAATTAAAAGTAAAACAAAGATACTAGTATGCAAGGGAAGAAAAAGTAGGA